TTTTACAAAAAAATTTTTTTTTTAATTTTTATACAATGATCTTTTTATAATTATATTTATTTTTATAAAATAGACACTGAGTTTATTCTCTTGATTATCTTTTTTAAGTGGCTCTTTTTCTTTATTTTTTTTGGTTTGTTCTTCGGTAGATGACATTGAATAGAATCTATAACAAATAAATTATTAAATAATTTTTTAGTTATAAAAAAAATAAGATTTTAATTAAAAAAGACAAACTTTAGATTAAAAATTAAATGTTGTGAGAAATACGAATTGTTCATTTTTTTATTTTTTATATTGGTATAAAATTTCTAGCACATTCTACACAATTATATATGAATTGCTAATCTATTCTAAATTCGTATTTTACGAATTTGGAACGACAATGAGTCTTTTGATTTTCAAATTCGTAAAATACGAATTAAGAAGTTCATTGTCTCAATGAACTTTTATATTTGTAAAATCCGAATTTGGAAAATTAATAATTAAAATTGTGAAAAAATTTTGAAAAAAAAACGAAGAAATTTGTTGAAAAAATGTGAAAAAAAGTGTACATTTTTCTTGAAAAATATTATAAATAATGTTCATAATTAACATTCTAAGTTTTTTTTAATCTTAAAAAATATCATCTTTCTCATAATTAACATTCTAAGTTTTCTTTAATCTTAAAAAATATCATCTTTCTCGTCTTTTTCTTAACTTTGCGTTAATTTTGTCACTTATGATTTTAATCGTCAAGATTTTGATCAATTAATTCAAATGTATTTTGAAGATGAAACAACTTGTCCTTTTACACATATTGTTTATCAATATAAACAAAATTATAATGTTTCTCAAGAGCGAGATTGTCATATACAAGGTTTTTTACATCTAAAGAAAAAAACTAAATTTGGCTATTATAAACTGTCAACTAATGAAAAAAAGAATAAAATAAATGGTATAAAAGGTTTTTTAAAGATTGATAAAATATATTTTGAACCGGTTGGGAGTGAGGCTAACTTTATCCCTTAAATTGTAATGCCGGCAAATTTGCC